ATTGTAAAATGTTCGTTGCAGCCAGAGTTAATTAACCATTCAGAAGTTTCAGAAACCATATCTGCCATGTTCATAACCGAATCGTCCCCATTCTCCTGTGACCCAGCAAATAACTTCTTTAGTTGCTCTAATTGTTGGATTGTAAATCCAGGAACGGGTCTATACTCGACCTCAGCATGGGAGGCCTTAGGCGCATGCCCATGCCCCTCATTCTTGCTGCTGCGTCGCTTATGTTGTTTGTCTCCTTGTCGATCGCGATCGCGGGTGGATAACCTAGCAGCTCATAACGCATTTCACGGGTGTGTCCGATTTTCTGGCAATGCGTACAACAAAGCTTGTCTCTCTCCACCGAGCCTCGATCACCTCGGTCAGCCTCCCCGCGAACAACGAAAATAGCTGCCTCTCTCTTCGGCCGCCTATGCTGTGAGATTATCTTTTGTTGTTCCTCATTGACCGCTATATTAAACACTTCAGGTAGAGATGGGATTGGCTTCATAGCCAACACCTGAGTGCGGAAAGCAACAAAAGGTTCATCTAACCCCATCAACAATTCGAATAGCCTGGAGTTCTCCTATTGTTCCCACACTTTGCGCGAGACTCCACAAGTCCATTGGCCACAAGTGCAACACGGAACTAGCGATATGGACGATGCCTCCTCCCAATACGCCTTGAGCTTTGTATAGAAGGCTGATACAAAATTCTTTTGTTGCTGTAAGGAGTTGATCAGACAGCGCAACTCGTATGCTCGAGAAGCGCTCCCTTGGCCGAATATCTTGCTCAAATCTGCCCATATTCCACGAGCGCTTTTGGCGAAACGGATGCTGCTCTTAATCTCCTTGTCCATGGAGGTCTTGAGCCATCCTTTCACCATTGCGTCGCAGCGTACCCAAGCTCGTCGCTCGACTGGATCATCTGGCTTTACGATAGTTCCGTCGACAAAGCCATATTTATTTTTCGCTAGCAAAGCATCTCTCATATCGAGTGCCCATTCTCCATAGTTTGATGCAGTTAGAACCTCTCCTACGACCATGTTCCCAGGCTGTCTGAGTTATGAAGCTGATATTCAGATGGAAGATTGGCCTCCAATCCACCACCGGTCAGTGGCGATTTACTATCCGACGTCTCATCCACGTTCTTGCTCATGGTGGCGCCGGCAGCGTCAAATCAAGGCTATCAGCAAAGCTGGAACTCACAGCTCTGATACCAGGAAAAATAGTTATGAACGGAAGCGTAACACACGATGTTTACATGGTATCTTCGATCGTTTCTTGATCGAGACTAATCCACGGAGGGTTGAGCACCCTCAGTTATTTTCTTATTATTATGATCAATGAACAGTGCATCCATAGGCCAAGTTACAAGAGTATTTATACCCATCTGCCAATGTAACTAGGGCATAATTTTGAGAATCAACTCTCCTTAGCCACCTAGGACTAAGTGACCAGGCAACGTGTGCCGAGGACTGTGTGCGAGCTATGGGCCGAGACCCCTCATCAGTCTCCTCATGTATTTCTTGGCCCAATACAATCACCTTAATCTCATTCTTCATCACCAGTGAAGGAAAGTGATGGGTGAATTTGATATAAAGTGGTGGTAGATGAGATTTGTACGTGTGAAACCCAAGCAAAGTGGCATTAAGAATGAGATTAACCGATTTTGCTGGATTTTGACTGGGTTGAAGACAGTTTTGTCGGGTTTTGTCCGGGTTGAAACTGGCTTGTGAGAATTCCCGCACACACTAAAAAGGGTTCTGGATATATTGTAATTATATGATAGTATTTTGTGTTATATGATAATGGTAGTAATGATTATAAAATTAGAATAAATAATTATATGGTTTGTAAAGCTTGTCCCTTGATCCTATCAATGGCATAGCCGATTTAAAAAGAAGAGGGCATGAATTTTCCAAATTTCCAACACATTTAGAGAGGAGCAAGGGTTTCTACTTGAAGAAAAGAGGGAGCTTAAAGATCACCATGTTGGAAAGCTTTGGACCTGATTTTCATAATTAAATCCCTCAAGAAGTTGATGTTAGTAAATATAATGATCCACAATTGAACCTGTCCCAACACCTCGAGTTATTGGGACTAACTGGTTCTTGACATGGTATTAGAGTCTTCTGTGACCGTGAGGAAAAGAAGAATAGTGAAATAGGAGATGGTACTAGTGTGATTCCCTTCTGGTACTAGAGTCTTTTCGCAGTTAAGTCACACTGAGTTCGTCTAGATATAAATGCTACTCCTCGAAAAATCGATAAAATATAATAGGGAGTTTGAGATTTTATGGTTTCCCATTCAAATTGGCTAAATTGCAAGTTTGGTCACTGAAATTACTTAAAAAGTTCACGTTTGCACTAAAATTAATTTATCAAATCCTTAGTCACTAAAATTAATTCAACAGTTCAAGTATGGGCACTCTTCGTTAACTTTAGCTGACGTGGCAGTCAACATTGAGAGTTGATCGTTAAATACGTAATGTGGCAATTAAAAATTATTAATTCTTTTAATATTTTAAAAACTTCACCTCATTATCACAATAAGTAAATAAAACTAATAATTGGTTTGCTATGGATATCTTGGACACGCCGGCAGAATCAAAGTTTGTTGAATCAAGGTCTGTTCTGGAAAAGCACAACAGCTGAAACCAGTCGTCCACCATCGTCGAGATGAGAAGTCTAATGTTCAAGGTATAGTAGAAAAGTGAGAAGGCAAACAGACCAAAAGTACAGGGGAAGGGTACTTCTGAGGAATATGGGAAACGAGAATAGGAATAGAGAGATATAACAAAATTTGCCAACTCGTAGGAAGTGGTTGGTGGACTGGTGATGATGGCCGCAACGACACTAAGACAATATACCAACAACAGCAAGCGGCTTACCGTGTTTCCATATATGGGCAGAGAGGAAGCAACGGTGAACAAAGACGCCGATGACTTATTAGAAAGGGATGGGGGCTCGACGTCGATTTCTCTGCCCTAGCTCCGTCAATTTCTTCTCTTGCCTGAGATTTTTATTTTACGAATATTGTCGGAGATTTCTCCAAAGGCTACATTTTAATTTTGGTAATTATAATTTTAATTTTTTGTTAAACTGAGGTGGAAATTAAATTTTTTTTATTTTAATTACTTTTTATTTACCATGCACTTATTTAACAGTCAACTCTGATAGTTGACTGTCATGTCAAATAAAGTTAACGGAGAGTAACCAAACTTGAACTGTTACACTAATTTTAGTGACAAGCGTGAAACATTTTAGTAATTCTAGTAACAAAACTTTCAATTTAGCCAATTCAAAATTAATTGAATTCTTATGCATTTACGTCAACACTTCTTGCAACCAATTAAATTTTGTCTTTAAATCATCTTTTCTTTTTTCTTTTCAGCTAACCAATTAGAATGTGTCCTCAAGTACTCTCTATTCTTTTTCATTTTCCCTATTATTTTTAATTTATCCAAATTTATTTTGTTATGCTAGTCTTGATATTTTTGCGCAACAAAATCAGTTTTTATGTGATTTACAAAAGAGTGGTTACGGTGATTACTACAAAATAGTAATCACCATGATTACTAAGGGTAAATTGGGTATGGAAAAGCAAATTATATTAATTAATTAATTTTAATAAATTATATTTTAGGTAGTTACAAAAATCTATTAATTACAATTCTTTCTCTCACTTTTGTAATCTCCAGTCAGATCTCCTTTCCATATTTTTCTCAATCTTTCTGCAAAAGAAAAAACATGAAATCACTACCAATCCATTAGAATACCACTACCATTTTGAAAAACATCAATACCATTGCAGAAATAAATCTATACCATTACACGAAAACTACCAATATAAATAATCTATACCATTACAAAAGTCAAACAAATACCAAAACAACAAATACCACTACTACTGTGAAATCAAAACAATACCATTACATAAATAAATCAATACAAATACTACCAAAACAAATACAGACAAACTACCAAAGCATAATGCAAACACTACCAAACCAAATGCAAATAACTACCAAAACATAATGCTCAATCTAACCAACACAAATGCATGTAACTACCAAAGCGTAATGCACACACTACCAAAGAAAATGCAGGTAACCACCAAAGCATAATTCAAACACTACCAAACCATAATGCAAATAGTACCATAATAAAAGGTAGCTAGCAAAGCAAATCCTCTACCAATGCAAACACTACAATTCTAGATTACCTGCAGAAGCAAAGCTGAACGCTCTCCGGCAAACTGTATTTGATCTCTCTGATCGGGTTCCCGTTTCCGACCACGACCTCGACCGGCGATCCATGTTGGGAATCCAGCGCCACCGTCAACAACGTCGGAGGAAGATTCAAAAGTGGCGATGCAATGGAGGGAGGGAGATGGGCTAGGGATGGAGGGAGGGGGATGGGAGGTTACGCGAGGGAGGAGGGGAATGGAGGAGGGCGGTGGAGGGGAGGTTGGCCGGCGGGCCAGCTATGGAGGGGTTCTCGGGAGGGAGGGGATTTTGGGGAGGGAGGGCGGACGGTGGGAGGTAGTGGGGAGGGAGTGTGGTGGTAGGCGGCGGGTTACAGTAGGGTTAGGGTTTGGATGTAATTTATCGAGTAATCAGGTGTGGTATATTTTTTATTTTCAAAATTACCCTAATATAATCTTCATCATTAATTTAAAAATAGGATAAAAAAAATAATGAATGGTTTAGATTAAGGTAGCCACCATGATTACTAAAAATTAAGTAACCACGCTAACTCATCCCATTTACTAAATGATATCAATTTTGATATATGTTCAAAAAATAAAAACAAAAACGCATTCACATGTACCAATATCATTTGGTTTCAATATCACCATACACGACTTACTAGTGTACCACCAACCATAACTCACATGCATATTCATATTCTACTAAGTTGTTAAACTATATCAATATCATTCTCCTTTATAGCAACGTAATATGTAATTGTGTAGATATGGTTGATCGGACACCGTACACTAACTGGTTTATCAAACACTAACTGTTAACTCACGCAGTGTTCTTCCCTTTGAATGAGTACTGAAGGGTTGATCGGAGTTATCTCGGATAGATATCGTCGTGGAATCGGAATCTTGCTTGAACAAATCTGGAGCAGCTGTGATTGAGAAACCAGTTAGTAAAGGTGATCCACCACGCTTAGTGTAGCTTCCAAGCTTCAATATGATATCAGACATTGTTGGTCTCTTCTCTGCAGCTTCTTGAACACACAGCAGTCCGATGTTGATGCACTTCAGAACCTCATCTTTCTTAAATTCTTCTCCCAAGGTTGAGTCCACAATCTTCAAAGCTGTACCATTGACCCAATGCTTCCACGCCTGCCAAACGAAGTTCAAGTATCAAGGTCAATGATCCAATTGCCCTAAAAAAGACACAATTTGTCCATGAGAGGCCTATTTTTGCTACATTGTTACTTACATAACTTTGAAGATTCCTGGAGTCTTGAAAACTGGAGTTTTTTGTACCTGTTATGATCTCCAGAACTAGAATTCCAAAGCTAAATACATCCGATTTAGTCGAGTACCGACCTCTTACTGCATACTCTGGTGCCATGTAGCCACTTTCATCCATCCCCAAGAAAAAGAAAAAGAAAAAGAAAACAGCTAGTAGTTAGGTAAGTCCTGTGTAAAACCAGTCATGTTAGAGAAGAAACTGGAGGAGGTTCAAGTTCTTACTATGTCCCTACGATCCTATTTGTAATGCAATGATTTTCAGTTCCAGGAAACAGTCTTGCCAGTCCGAAATCAGAAATCTTAGGCATCATGGACTCGTCTAACAAAATGTTGCTGGCTTTCATATCGCGGTGAATGATCTTTAGCGGGCACTCTTCATGCAAGTATAGAAGTCCTCTAGCAATCCCAACAATGATATTGTACCTCATTTCCCAATTCAGTTTCAGTCTTCTATTCTGATCTGCATCAATCCAATATTTGATGAAAAGACAACAACCATCAGTTCATCTATTGTTATTAGATCAGGCCATGAATGTCAAGTAAAGGAAGTACCAAACAGAAATTTGTCCAGGCTCCCATTAGGAAGGTACTCATAGACAAGCAACTTCTCTTCTTCATCTATGCAGAATCCCAGCAGCTTCACCAGATTCTGATGTAGAATTTTTGCAACCAGCATGACTTCTGTTTGGAGCTCTTGTAGCCCTTGCTTGGAACTAGTTGAAAGCCTTTTCACAGCTATCTCTTGGCCATCCATCATTTTCCCCTGCCAGATTCTTGTTTCAGGTATTGTAAAAAAACCTGCTGAGACTAATCCAGACATTAATAAACACTTTTTCCCCCCTGAAGTGCTAGGTACCTTATAAACTAGACCAAATCCACCTTGTCCAAGCTGGTTATCATCTGCAAAGTTGTTTGTTGCTTCTCTGAGTTTATCGAATTCAATCAAAAGTGACTCCAAACTTCTGTTGTTATCACCAACTGTTGAAGAAGACATTTAAATACATGTATGTGGCAGACATCTAACTCGATGGTAAAGAGTTTCAGCTAAGCTTAAATTACCGACTCCCCTCCTTGTGCGATTCTTCCAATGCAAGAAACTGTAGGTAGAAGCCATAATCATCAAAGCAAGAGCTGCAGCCATCACCAGGATAACAATGATCTTAGAGGTTTCCACTGCAACATCAAGATATCAACATAAACAACATTTTAATCATCCTCCTTCATTAGCTAAACCAATGAAGAATATAAAACAATAGAAATGAAGATTACCAACCATGATTCGTAGACTGGTTTTTCTCTCCAAGCAATGAGGGAGGTGGAGGTTGATGTAGTCCAGGTTGAAAAGAAGACAAAACTGGATAGAATAGAAAATTATCATACCGCAGATTACAACTTGGAGCAAATAAAAATCCAGCTTCTCCTTCGTCCAGCAAAAGCAAGCACTTCCTGGTAAGATTCTGAAGACAAGTCGAGCAGTCACTTCCCGAAATTCCTTTAGAGCATTGTACCATAGCATAGATTTTCATAGCTGTGGTGTATGCAGAATCCCCAGAAGCTACCCTGACACCACTTTCTGCAGCATAAGGTGTCAGAAAATTGAGCAAAGCTTCCAATTTGGTCCTCAGAAGAACAGGATCTTTGGCCTTGACGCGGTTCCATACAGAGAAACGTGGGGTGCTGTCTAGATCTGAGAAGAAATTCCTGTCCGAGTACTGCAATGAACACTTCTCGTTGTACATGGAGCCTTGCTTCTGGGTAGGGCAGAGTTGGATGATCTGAGTGGCCATGTTTGTGGCACTAGCTTGGCGGGCATCCTTGGGAGTATAACCTGTACACTGTATGAGACCGTAGACTTGATCTGCGCCCGAGCCAAAGGAAGCAGTGAAGTAGTCATCAACCGAGGCACTAGCAGCTAAGGAATTGAAGGTCAGGTTTAGGTTCAGCTGATATGGACTTCCAGAAGTGTAGTTTCTATCATTCTGACAAGTGAAGTAAGAAGCAGCTTGGACATGTTGGGGAAAATGATGAAGCCACGACTGTAAGAGAAGGAAAACAAGAAGATTCATAGTTAGATTGGTCAACAACAACCTCTCTAGCCTTGCTTATGGCTATCTGCAACTCCATTTCTTGTTTTCTTTTTGTGGTTTCCTAAAGTGCTCGTTTAGGTCCAAACACAAAGCTCTAAAGTAAAGGAGCTGAACTGATATTGTAATCTGCCGGTAGCGCTCCAACCGGCTGCTGATGTAAGAACTTATGTTAATTATATTCTAGTCAGGGATTAAACTATATCCAGAAGTTGACACAAAAAGGAAGCTAAGATACAACATAAGGTCACTGTGATGCTTGCAGGCCAATGATGAAAGAATCAAGGAAAGAGAGGACAAAATAACCATTTTCTTAACTTACAAGGATGGAAGTGAAGCTAATTACATAACGACAATAAAGGTGTATGGAAGAAGACAAATGGACAAGCTCAGGGGAGGATCGGGGGGGCTTTAGGACACCTCTAAATTTTGGGAAATCGGTTATCCACCCCGATGATAATTTACGTATGGATAAAAAATTAAAATTGATAATAAGGAACACTCCTGAAATTTGAAAAAATGATTATCATACTGTCATTTTGTAAATTTGTGTATGAGACACTATTATTATTAATAAACTTAATTTCCGTTAAGCTACAACTCATTTGTTGTTTGATTTTAAACACTGTGTAATAGTAAAATGTCATTCACTATCTCTAATTATTTTCAAAACATAACAATTAAACTATTTTCAAGCTACCCATAATTTGTATTGATTTTATAGTTGTACGTCAAGTGTTGAAAGAGTCTTTCAGCTTTGGGTTACATCAAGAACAAGTTTACAAATCAAATATGCGATAAGTTCGTGAATGATTGTCTAGTAGCGTATTCTATAATTATTTCCTGTACGAGTAAGGTATTATCTTATTTATTATAATTATCTTTTTATTTTTTATTTTTGTTTAATTTATTTTTTAAAAGTGACACCCCTATGAAAAATTTCTGGGTCCGCCACTGCAAACTTAAACAATTGAGTTTCTTGTGTAAGTTTCGGATAATGATAGAATGCACAAACAATAAATTTTTTATTGCTAAATTACACGTTTGGTTACTCAAATTATACAACTTTTTACGTTTTCCACCTGAATTACTTTTCTTTTTTATTCGCCACTTGGTTTACGAATCGTTATATCATTTTTTTTATAAGGGTGAAAGTTTTATTAAAAAAGAAAGGAGAACAAGGAAGATCAGAGAGAGTTCATAAGAGCTGAACCTCTCAAATCAAAAGTACAAACAAGAAAGAAAAAAGAGGAGTGCATGCAGCACAAAACTGTGCGCCACCACCAAAAGCAGGAAGAAGAAAAGGGGGAGTGCAGATGAGTGGATCAGGCCCCCTCCTACTGTACCAGATCCTCTGTCACCAGGTGACAAGGTCAGATCACGATCGCCAGGGCAAGTGTGGGAGTGGAGCCACGGCCACTCGTTCCTGTTAATCTCGCTGATCAGACCCTCTGTCACCACCCAGCTAAGAAGAGTTCTACCAATCTTGTGGAAAATGGACTGCCAGCTATGCTTCTCATCATTAAACATCCTTCCATTTCGTTCCTTCCAAAGCTCCCAAGTGAAAGCGTGGAGAAAAAGATGGATAAATCGTTCAAGCCAAGCGGAAGGATCCTCAGTAGGCCAGCTATGAATCACATTCTGCATCTCATCTGCATGGGGTCCGAAAACCTTTAAAACTTGCATGAAGGAACTCCAAATACTATTGTTGAATCTGCATTCTCTAAACAGATGGTTAGTAGTCTCGATGTCCGCCTCACAGAGTGTACATCTACTTGCAATGTTCCAGCCACGTCGCATCAGGTTGTCTTGTGTTAAAATTCGATTGTGGTAGACAAGCCACAGAAAGTAGCATATCTTCGAGGGCACCTGTGCACGCCACACAGCCTTGTGCGGAAAGTTTGAGATGCCGGGAAATTTCTCGGAACACATACTTCTGTACATGGATCGAATAGAGAATCCCGCCTTATGATCGGGCACCCACACCAACCTGTAAGGACCCATGGAAATCCAACCAAGAGGCAAATTCGATAGATAATTAAAAAGATCAACTCTCTCCCTCTCAGCCCCCCCCCCCCTCCTCAAAGAAGTATTCAGAGAAATATTCCAACTTACATATCCGGAGATGAGATGAAGTCAGAAATCCAGCCATTGGGTAAGGTGGAGACGGAAGCGACTCTTGGGAAAGCTTCTGCTAAGGTCACCCCTCGGTTCCATCTATCCTGCCAGAATGAGACCCAAGCGCCACCACCTGGATCAATATAGGCGAACTTCCAAAAATTGCCCATTTCCTTCAAAATAGACATCTAAACAGACCATCCAATCCTACCACTTCCTTGCCCAGAAATCCAAACAGAAGAGGTGTTTGGGAACTTAATATTAATCAATCTCCTCCACCAGGCATCTCATAAATTATCTATCGAATTTGCCTCTTGGTTGGATTTCCATGGGTCCTTACAGGTTGGTGTGGGTGCCCGATCATAAGGCGGGATTCTCTATTCGATCCATGTACAGAAGTATGTGTTCCGAGAAATTTCCCGGCATCTCAAACTTTCCGCACAAGGCTGTGTGGCGTGCACAGGTGCCCTCGAAGATATGCTACTTTCTGTGGCTTGTCTATCACAATCAAATTTTAACACAAGACAACCTGATGCGACGTGGCTGGAACATTGCAAGTAGATGTACACTCTGTGAGGCGGACATCGAGACTACTAACCATCTGTTTAGAGAATGCAGATTCAACAATAGTATTTGGAGTTCCTTCATGCAAGTTTTAAAGGTTTTCGGACCCCATGCATATGAGATGCAGAATGTGATTCATAGCTGGCCTACTGAGGATCCTTCCGCTTGGCTTGAACGGTTTATCCATCTTAAAGAACATAAAGGCAGCAGCTACAAAAGCCACAACACTGTCAAATGACCAAAGAAGAAGACGAGTGGATAGAGGTGGAAAAAAGAAGCGTGAAGAAGCCCAGGAGCCTATCACCCAACAGTAGCCCCCCAAATCCTGAATCAATCCTGCATGAAGCGCACCCCTTGCTGTTCGTCAATCTTCTTATGCTTCACAATCCAGTTAACGATGTTCCTGATGATTTTCGTGATGACAGTTAAGGGAGGGCAGCAAGATTCCTGGAAAATTCTCTGATTTCTTTCTTTCCAAACAAACCAGCAGATCGCGTGAATGGCACAAGCTTCTCCGGTCTATTTGTTCACCTTCATCGCCGCTAATTTATTTTGTCATATGGCAACAACAACAGCTCCAGGTCGTCAGTTTTGGTCTCTGTCATGCTTCTGTCTGTCTCCTGTTCACACGAGCAGATTCACTCTTGTCAGTCTTTGACTCCAATTTTGATCTTGTTGCAGCCGAGTCTTCTTCTCCAAGTTATGTTGTTGTTATATGACAGCATTGCAAGGAACAATAAACTTTTGCTCCTTTGTTTCGTACGTATTGTTGTTTGGTTGATTATGCTTGGAGAGTGGAGATCGGTTTGTGGGATTCGGTTGGGTCAATAGAGTTATCATGTCATCATTGTGGCCGGTGATCTTCATCAAGCACTCTTAGGTGCGTCACCATGTATCCTTCTAGTTCTTTTAATATATGTTTGTCTTCAGAAGATAGTTGCATGAAGGACGATGGAGAATGGATCAAGTTGGTCATCACGCGTGGCCGTGAGTGAGTTTTTAAATGAATGCTTGAGATAGTCTTTAGTCGATTACTTTCTCTTGAATCACCATGTGGGGTTCTTCAAGTTTGAGGTCTAGGAGGATGCACTCATTTGAATTGGCAGTTTCTATAAAGATGGGATTGAAGTGGTTGTTATCAGTTTACACAGTGGTTGTTATCTTCACCAACATCAGAGTCATTGCGTTGAAGGAAATCATGACCGACAGTGGTCATCTCTTCAAATAGATAGTGTTGGGGAGAAGGAACAACTTCTATCAACAAAATTTTCAAGTCATCAGGTCGAGACATTCACGATCCATTAAATGGTCGTCCCCTGGCTTTCAAAAGGTAAGATGATCAGAGAAATCATCGTTACTTCATCGTGGAGTTGGATTCACGATCCAAGAAATGGTCGTCCCCTTCAACATATATACGTAGGTCGAATAACTCAATTATCAGGTCGTCCTCGATGTACCAAGTGTGTTCAAATTCACGATACGCAGTTAACCGTCCCCAACATCAGGTTGTTAAGAGAGAGAGTCAGTCGTCTCAAAATCAACCTCATCCGAGATGTCATTCATCTTGTGTTTTGTTGTACAAGCTCGTCATGCTTGTTCTTCACATTATCCTTTCAAGCTCGACATTCTTGTCATTCATGTCTTCGCTTGAGGGGGAGTGTTGCGGTTAATAAACCATATCAGTCATGGGCCTTGTCCGAGTTGTAGTAGGTACATATAATTATCCGTACTCGACTCTTCTCGTAACCCTAGTCTATCTCTATATAAGACTTAGCTACGTACCGGTCGTTAGTAAGCCGTAAAGATGTAGTCTCTAATAAAACATCAGTCGTGAGCTCTTCTGAGTTCACCGTGGATTAGTCTCGTGTGATTCTTTCCATCTTCTGCGTTATCAAATTTTTCAGAGAAAGTAAGGAACAACGAACAAAGTACAAAGATATGAGTGAAGGAAGGGGAAAAGGCTGTTTGCTTTCTCTTTTTCCCCCAATTCAAATTTGGTTTCTATTTCTCAGCTACCCAACCAAACAGAGGGGAAAAGAAGAAGAGAGACAAGTGGAACATGGGAAAAAGTGCGCAACTTTAATAATTTAGGGAGGATACGGGGTCGTCCATTCATTCGGGCTTCTCCGTATAATTTAATAAAATTTTTTAATTTAACTAATTTTTATTAAATGATTAATATGATAAGTCATATAAATAAAGTGAAATGATAAGGTGGAAAAATAATTTTTTTTTAATTACCATGTCGTTTAGTTAATGGTCAAACTTTATAGTTGACTGCAAGCAGGACAAATTTTACG